TTGAAATTGGCTCATGAAGAATGAGCATGAGTTTATCTGAGAAGTCTTTCTCAACAGAGGGAACTGGAGCTAGAGGTACAAACTTAAGGAACAGATAAGAAATCTGTGGTATTTGGGCATGGTAGCACATTCCTGTAATCCCAGCACTTTGAGAAGTAGAGGCAGGAGGATAAGGAATTCAGGTCATCCTCAGACATGTAAGGAGTTTGAGGCCAGCTGAGGGCTACCTGAGGCCCTGTCTCAATCAAGAAAGCAAAGGTGTGTTGGGAATCCATGGTGGAGAAATGGTGTAACGGTTCATCTTCTCCATCAGCTTGACTGAATTTAGACTCACCTTCGAGACACAACTCTGGGTATGTCTATGAAGGGATTTCCAGAACAGTGTAGCTGAACAGGGAAGACCTACTCTGTGTGTTGAGGTCCCGGACTGAAGAAAAGGGCAAAGCAAGCACTGCAAGCTGAACAGGTCTCCAGGATTCAACTGCACAGCTTCCCACAATGGCCTCTCCAGACCTACATCCAGGGACACCCCTGACACATGTCTGGCCTCGGTAGCTTTCTTTAGTCTTGGTGGCAAATTCCATAACCTGTTTCTTCCGTCCTTAACTCTAAAACCGGACCTAAGTGGCCAAAGCTGTCAAGTTCTGCTGCTTTACTAGGGCTGGAACATGAACTAAAAAGAGCTTGGAGTCAGGTGTGGTGGGGCACATCTCTAATACCAGTCCCAGGAAGGCGGAGGTTGGCAGATCTCCAAGTTTGGGGCCAGCCCCGTCTACAGAGCAGGTTTCAGGACAGTCAAGCTTAGGCAGTGAAGGCAGGCATGTGTCAGTCATGTTACATAAGCTCCCTCACAGGCTTGTTATTCTCTTGTTAGTCTAATGTTGGGCATCCAATCCAAGGCTTTGCAAATGTCTACACAAGCACTGTAATTGCAAGCTACCTCTCTAGCTTCATAAGCACGTTAGTAGCCCAGACTGACCATTCATGGCAATTCTACTGCCTCAGGCTCCTGAGTGCTAAGAATATAGGAATGAGCTGCTACATAAACTCTTGTCTGTTTTAGATGAGGTAACCTGTAGCTTAGCTGGCCTCAAATTAGTTATGTAACAGAGGATGACCTTGAACTCCCTGTTCCTCCAGCCTCTATTGCTGGGATCACAGGTGTGCACTGCCATAGTTAGTTTTATACAGTGCTGGGGGACTGAATCTAGGGCTTCATACATGCTAGGCAAGACCTCTACCAATGAACTACATCCTCAGCCCATGTAAATGGAGACTGCCCAAACCTGAATAATCACACAGAAGCTATATTAATTACAACATTATTTGACCAATAGATTAGGTACATTCCTAGTTAGCTCTTACATCTTAAATTAACCCATTTCTATTAATCTATGTATCACAACAAAGTTGTGGCTTACCGGTAAGTTCCTGGCATCTTTCTCCTTCGGCAGCTACATGGCATCTCTCTGACTCCACCTACTTGCTCCACATTATCTCTTCCAGCCTGGCTATATTCTCCCCTGCCATAAGCCAAGGCAGCTTCTTAATTAACCAATGCTAATAAAACATATTTACAGCATACAAAAGGCTATCCCACATCAAGCCCATATGTAGTGTTGGAGTTTTTTATACTCTTTTACTCTTTGGGGGCCCACCACCCAGCTCCTAAATAATCACGTGGAGGCTTATTGCTACTTATAAATGTCTGACTTTAGCTTGGCTTATTTTTAGTCAGCTTTTCTTAAATTATCCTGCCTACCTTTTGCCTCTGGGCTTTTACCTTTCCCTATTTCTGTATATCTCTTCTTTACTTCTTACTCCATGGCTTGCTGTGTAGCTGGAGTCCTCCTCCTTCTTCTCACTCCTAGATCTCATCTCTTCCCAGATTTCTCCAATTTATTCTCTCTGCCTGCCAGTCCCACCTATTCTTTCTCCTGCCTTACTTTTGGCCGTTTTGCTCTTTATTAGACCAATCAGGTATTTTAGACAGGCAAAGTAACACAGCTTCACAGAGTTAAACAAATGCAACACATTGTTGCATTATTAAACAAATTTTCCTCAACATAAACAAATGTAACACATCTTTAATTAATATTCGACAACACATAGGCACTGTAATGAGATCGTCTTTGTCACTGCTCCAGCCTGTGAAGCAAACCCACCTTCACACTCTTCTAATTCCTGCCTGGGTGGCCAGAAGCAAGGCATCCAGAAAGAGGCAAAAAACTAGGGCTGTGCTAACTGCTATAACAAATAGAGTCTACTGTGTACAATGGCTCCAAGTTTGTTTCTGAGGGCTCTCGGAATTATCCAAACTGGTGTTCCAGGTTGATGAATGACATGCCTCCATGCACTGAAACATAGACCCTGCTTCTTCTTCTTTTTTTTCAAGACAAGGTTTCTCTGTAGCTTTGGAACTTGTCCTTGAACTCACTCTGTAGACTAGACTGGCTTCGAACTCACAGAGACTTGCCTGTCTCTGCCTCCTGAGTGCTGGGATTAAAAGTGTGCACAGTCACCACCCAGCTGCTTATTTCTTCTTGTGACTCCAAGAATCTCTAGGGAAGTAGTTCTCAACCTGTGGGTCGAGACCCCTTTGGTTCTACTTCAGCTATGCTGCTTATAGGATATTTACATTACGATTCGTAACAGTAGCAAAATTACAGTGATGAAGAAGCAATACAATAACTTCATGGTTGGGGTCACTATAATGTGAGGAACTGTGTTAAAGGGCCACAACATTAGGAGGGTTGGGAACCACTGCACTGGAGTCTCACCTTCTTCTCTATCCAGCCAGGAAAGACAGACAGAGGCAGAAGAAGTCCATGAACCCAGAAGTTCAAGGCCCATCTAGGAGACATAGTGAGACCTTAGGGCTGGAGATGGTCCAGCAGTTAAGAGTGTATACTGCTCTTGAAGACAGCCTGGGTTCAGTTCCCAGCACCCACATCAAGCAGCTCACAATTGCCTGTTACTCCAGCTCCAGTGTATCAGACACATCAAGCCTTCTCATGTACTGGAACATACATTCACATACATACATACACACAAAATAATGAAGTAATAATAATGATTAATAAATAAATCTCTAAAACAAAACACACAGTTCTCACTTTTCTCAAAACGTTGGGGTAAGGCCGACGAGATGGCTCAGCAGGTAGGGGACTACTCGCTACCAAGACTGATGATCTGAGTTTTATCCCCAGAACCCAACTGGAGAGACGAGAGAACCACCGCCTGATAGTCAGCCTCTGACTTCTACCACAGCATGAACATGTACCCACACATCCAATAAATAATAAATTGGTGAAATAAACTTTTTCAAAGAATATTTTTCTCTGCACATGTTGGAAAACTATCCACTCATTTTATAGTATTTAGAAATATTGGTGACGGGGCCTTTGCACAGAAAATACATCATAACAAGGATGGATCCATTGTGATGGGATAAGTGTCCTTTATAAGACAAGACAGGAGAGAGCATGCTTCCCTCTCTCTGCTCTCTACCACATGTGAGCTCAGCAAAGAGATGGCTGTCTGCAAGCCAGGACTCGTCAGACCACAGACTTCTCAGTGCTTGGTCTTGACATGCCAGCCTCCAGAATAGTGAGAAAAGCAAACTTGTTCAAACCACCCAGTCTATGATATTTTTTCTTTATAATTTAAAAAATATTTTTATATGTATGACCATATTGCCTGCACTTGTGTCTGCATATTTCCTGCATACCTGGTACCCTTGGAGGCCAGAAGAAGGCATCAGAGTCTCCGGAACTGGAGTCAAAGCAGTTGTGAGCTGTCACATGGTTGCCGGGAATGGAACCCAGGTCCTCTTGAAGAGAAGTAAATTACTGTTCTTAACCACTGAGCCATCGCTCCAGCCCCATCTGTTTGTTTGTTTGTTTGTTTGTTTGTTTGTTTGTTTGTTTGTTTCAGGACAGAATCTCATTATGTAGTCCTGGCTGATCTGGGGCTATGTAACCAAGGCTGGCCTCAAGCTCACAGAGATCTGCCTACCTTTGCCTCTCAAATGATGGGATTAAAGGCATGCGCCACCACCGCCCGGCAGCAAGGTATTTGTCTGAACTAAGATAGTTCTGCGCCAAGGTGGGGTTTCTCCATAAGTATGGATTAACTTGCCTCTTTGGTATGGATGTATACAATTCATTCTCCTAGCCATTGGTACATGTGTGCAGACCTGATGGGGCATCTGACTACACATAGACCAACGTATGGATATGCCTGTCATATGTACCTACCTAAGGCACTGTGCATGCACACACACACACACACACACACACACACACACACAGATTGAGGCTGGTGTAGCTAAGTCTGACCTCAAATTTACTGTGTAGCTAGAGCTCCAGGTTCTCCTGCCTCAACCTCCCAAGGGCTGGCATTACGGGTATGTGCCACCACATCCAACTTTTCATGTGTATGTCTAAAGCTTTAGGTGCTCTTGTGAAAGGAAGACATGCATTCATGACATGCACGCCCATGTGCATGGTCACACATGTGTATGTGCTTACCTCTTTGCTCTCCGGTTCATCAGATGACAGTCTAAGGATAAGGTCTCTGCATGAAAACTGCCTGGGCTAAGAGTGCTAAGCATGCAGAAGCCTGGCACATAGTAGGTATGGAGTAAATGCATAAAGCACACGTATGGATAGCCAGGACCCAGTGCACATGTCCCCACGTCCACAGGAACCCCTGCCATACTACATGGTACAAAAGCTCCTAGTTATATGGCCATACACTTCTGTGAGCTGACAAACAGCCTTGAAGCTGCCAGGCTGAGCCAGAACACTCCAGGCTCCTCACTCGGCACAAGGAGGCTCCTGCTGTGTGTTGGTGCTTGCATGGGGTGCAACCAAGGGTGCGTTGGCGGCATGTGTGTGTGCGTGAACGTGTGTGTATGCGAGTAGGAAGAGACGTTCGCTCTCTTAGACCTTGCTTCTTTCTGTGGTTTGGTTTCTATAGAGACACTTCCTGTGGCAAAGAAAAGAGGTAGTGAGCTGGTGTTTCAGGATGTGAAGGCCCGCAGGAGCACAGCGAGCTCTCTCCACTGCCTGCCTGCCACCCCAAGAGCTCCGATCAGTGCTTCCACAATCCTTGTGGTGGGTGGCCCCCCGTGGCGGGGACCTGTGATCAGCGGCGGTATGCCAGGGAAGCCCAAGCACCTGGGTGTCCCCAACGGGCGCATGGTGAGTGCAGGCTCTGAGCCAGAGCCACAGGGAGGGGGTGGGCACACCTAGGGTGGAGTCCAGGGGGCACACCCAGCAAGGTTGAGGAGGAGCCCGGGGGCTGCCAGCAGGCTGGAGAAGTTGGGCGCAGATAGCTGGTGATAATGGGACCTGGTGCTGTCACCCCAGGACCCTTCCAAAGGCCCTGCTAGGAGTCTGGTGCAACCCTAGAGATGAGCCCAGAGCACAGCAGGCACAGGCTCTGTTTCCCCACGCAGGTTGGGCTCCCTGCTCCCTCAACTGCTCCTAGGATTAGCCCTGTCTGAAACTGCTTAGAAAGTGGCATGGGGACCCTGTGGCCCTGTCACTCCCTGCTCACTCTTATAACCGCTCAAGTGCCTACGCCTCTGGGCCTCAGCCCCCTCTCCTCACCTCATGCTCTAGGTGCCCAAGATAAGGTTAAGAGCAGTCCTTGCCGGATCACTACATCAACCTGCTCCAGAGGCATCCTGCCAGATTTTTGGGGCTGCCCAGGATGGGTCAGTAAGGATGGGACAGGATGAATAGCTCTGCCTGTTCTATTCCTAGCCTCCAGGAAGGAGGGTGTGGGGCGGAGATTAGGAAATCCTGGGCTGCGGCCTTCCAGGTCATTCCCTACACCCTTCCAGGTCATTAACTCCCGATGAGAGCTGTCCCGGAGCTAGCTTCTGGTTCTTCTCATTCATTCAGCAAACGGGGCAGACTGTGTTGAGCCTCCCTTTGCTTGGCAGGGAACTGGCTCATCTGGCAGAGTCACCAACAACTCCCTGATAGTCACCATCCAAGGCCTCAGTCTAGTGCCATGGAACAAAGCCAGTGGGTCCAGAATGACCTGGGATCCCAGTTCTAGCTCTGTTTTCCTTCCCTTTCCTACTTTGCCCTCTGTAAAATGAAACTGGAATGGATCGAAGCCCATTGCCTAAGCAGCATGATGAACCTGAGACCCTTGGAGCACTGTGAGGGCTAAGGACATGTTAGCCCCCAAATCCCTATATTTTCAGCCCCTCTTTAAGACTCTTTTGCCTCACTAAACAGATGAGCCATCCCAGTTCCCACCCCTACTTTCCAGTTCCCAAGATTTGTCTCCACCTCTTGACCGGCAGTTTTACTGCCATCACTGAGCTATTTGGGTAGAGGGGAAAGGGGAGACCAATTCCAAAAGTTGGTCCAGCCCCCACCCTACTTCCTCTACTACCAACCCACCTTAGAAAGTCCAAGGAGAGCCTGTTTGCAAAAAATCAGCCAGACTGATGCTTCTGGAATAGAACCCAGAGCTGCGGACCAGCTGAGGGGGCTGGAGACAGACCCAGCCTCTCCCTCCTGTGTCAGCCCATGGCTTTTCTATCTAAAAGTCATTCAGAGTAAAGAGGGTGCCCCAAGCTCTGCCCGGGGTCCCGTCAAGCCCGCAGCTGCCCCAGGTCCTCTCAGTAACCGCCACACGTGTTTATCTCTGTCCTTTCTGGATCAGCTCTGAACTCTCTGTATGACTCTAGAGAGCTCATGGTTCACAGATGTCGACTTGCCGGACAACAGGCAGTTTTACGAGGCCATACTTGGCTAGAGCAGGGACAGGAAGCCAGGCGTTAGTGACTATGGGGAAGATGAGAATGGAGAGGGGTCTGTGGGTAAGGTGCCCGGTTGTTACTTCACGGGAGAGGCTCAGAGGAACACAACTGATATCCTGTTGAGTAGAAAGCTCCCTGTTTGCACATACCCCGTGTCCCCCAGCAGCGACTAGCTCTGGTCCCTTCCCATCCTCCAACATTCCCTGCTGAGGCGATGTCATCAGCCTTAGCCTTCTGGCACTCTGCTTGTCAAGCAGCTGAAATGAAACCTGTCACTTCGAGAGGGCTCTGAGCCCCCTCCCGAGAAATCGTCACATGGTACCAGCTGTCACTCATCTATGTGCTCACTCATTCACTCGGGGGCTGCTCTGGGCTGTTCCACCCTAAGCACTAAAGACCCAAGTCAGCCCACAGTGTGCCACAACGTAGTGAGGCACAAGAAGACAAGAGTGGAGATTACTAGAATAAAGTTCTGGTTTGGGGAAGAGCTTAGGTCAGGAATGGAGAAAGTCTAAGAGGAGCCTGGCAAGGAAAAGCATCTTCTCCATTAACTTCTAACACTGGAGAAAATGGTCCTTGAAGGATATGCAAGCTAGAGGGGGGAGGGGGTGGCCCGGGGGAAACTTGCATATCGGAAAACATACAGTTACTGTGGAGGGATACATCGCGAGGAAGTCTGAGTTTAACTTTGAGTTAGCCATAGTTCTCTTTCTGTAAACTCAGGTAGCGCTGGTCCCCTCAGCAAACACTGGCAAAGAGACCTACAAGAAACTCATGTGTCTCTATGTTCCTGGTGTCCAGCTCAGGGTCAGGAATGGCAGGGGCAGGACAGGGGTATATTATAGAAGGGCCAAGACATGATGTCATCCCTAAGGAGCTGTCTCAAGCTGAAGGGACCAGGCACTAAGACTGTGTAGACATCCACAAGAGCAAACAAGATCACAGGTCAGGTGCTTAACTCTGGAAGACACCAGTGATGTGGGAGAGAATACTGGAATCGAGTCTGGTTTGAGTAAGTTTACAGTCAGGGATAGAGAAAACCTGAGGTGTCCACCAGCTGCTTGCTCCCTCTTTAAGATCTGAATCCTCTAGGGGCCCAGTTCAAGAGGAGTCCCTGGGCCTCAGCTCCATTGACCTTGCCCACCTGTGCCCAAAGGCTGCAAGTCCTGGTCCTCCAGTGTCCCCCATTTATACTGAAAGTGGCGAGGCTGGGAGCAGTGACACCTGCCTTTAGTAACCGTGCCCATATATGGAAGCAGCCCGGAGTGGCATGGTGGAGTCTTCAGATTCCACAGTGGACAGACAAAACGTGGCTTCTCCTATCTCCACCACTTTCCAGCTCTACAGCTTTTCTGGCTTTGGGTCCCTCACCTGTAAAACAGGGGCAATAACATTCGATGCAGGGGACAGAGATGTTGAGGGTAGAGGAAGAATATGGTTGCCTGTGGCACAGCTGGATCAAGAAGCTTGAGGTGGCTTCCTCAGTGCCCTCAGGTCCCAGCTGCTCCCTTAGAGCCACTTCCTAAGAACAAAGCATGACAAATTAAAGCCAGACCCGACGTGGTTGGGAGGGAGTGTCACTGGCCACCACGCCCTTCCTCATCCTTTCTTCCCCTTTTCCTTCCTCACTCAACATGGCACCTCAAGAGGAGGTGAGAACTGGGGTCACTGTCGAACCTAACTTCCCCATGCCCTGGAGCCTGAGTGAGCCATAGCTGTGGCTCTGGATCCCACTTTGCCATAGCTGACTCTCTGACCAAGGTGTATCCTGTCCAGACTCACAACAGCCCCCAGAGGTGGGGAATGCTGAGCCCCATGCTCCCTAGGGGAAGATGGGCTGGAGGAAAATCTGTTATTCTAGCTGTGCAAATGACCGAGCAGGAGCTGGACTCCTTCCTCCTTCCTCCAAGCCCTAGATTTCTGTCCCTCTTCCACCTTTGTCCCGATTCTACTTTCAACAGCCAGAGGGGCAAGGAAGGCAGGAACAAAGAACCTCATGAGGCAGCGTGGGAGGAGGCACTGAACGGCTGTGCCTGAGCATGGAGAGGGCACTTGAACCAGAAACTTAGTCTTACAGATGCTTGGGCAGAGAATCAAAGAGGATGCCCCTGGATCTGGGATTTCAGGTAGACTCCACAACAAGACCCACCCTTGTTAGGTTACTAGGAGCTTCTAGGCTGCAAGGATGAGAGCCCCAGCATGAGCGTAGAGGAAAGGGAAGGGTGAAGACCAACATTTGGGGACAACTGATGATGGGGCAGGATCTAGGAGCGGTGCCAGGGGGCTCTAGAAGTAGGTACTCAGGCAGAGGAAACAGCAAAACAGGAAGCAGGGGTGTGGGGAAAATAGAAGTTTGATAAAGTGTGGGGTGGAGGTGAGGAGGAGGGAAATGATGTCGCAGGGGCTCATTAGTCAAGCAGGTAGGGTTTAGCTGTAACTTGGCAACAGCAGCCCTACTGAGACGGGCAAGGAATTGAGTCCAGGGTGGAACAGTGGGGGAGGAAAGGGCCTGGAGAAAACCTGGAAGGTGGCCCTATTAAGGACATGCATTTAATTAAAGATAATACAAAAATAAAACCTCTGAGAACCAAACAAAACCCTAATGCATCTGGCTTCAGTGCCGCTTTGGCTATGTCAAGGACTCCTGCCCAGAGAGAGCTGCCTGCAAGGGACAGGCTGGTCTGGGATTGGGGGACAGCCCAAAGGCTAAGGATGCTGGAAGAGGGTAAGGCATGCACTGAGAAGGGGACACATCCTGGAGCTAAGGAGAGGACAGCACGGGCTTGAAGTTAGGAACACAGCTGCAGCTGTGGAGCAGCTGGGGGAGGAAGGCAGCAGTGGGCGCAGGCAGGTGCCGGGGAAGGAAATAGCAGGCTGCCTGGGGACTGCAGGCCTCCTGAAGGATCTCCCACGCCCAGGAATTAGGACTTTCTCATCCTTAGCTGAGAGATGTGAGGACTTTGGTGGAGAGATTTGACTCTGATGATGAGGCTCATCTTGAGGAGTGTGAGGCAGAGAGTGGAGTGGCGGGGTGGGGGTCAGAGTGTGCTGCGCTGGAGGTGGGGAGTGGGTGCCACACCCAGCTCAGGCAATTGCAAACTTTCTCTCTTGCAAGGTTGCCACCCCCATGCAAGATCGTAGAATAAGAAGAAAGCAGAGCTAGGATTTGAGTCCTTGTCTTGAGAGCCCGGACAGCTGTGCTCTTTGCTATCCTGTAGGGTAGCACACCCAAACGCCCAGCAACATCAGCTTGGATGCATACTGGTGAGACAGCAGTAGCTGTAAATTCTGGAACACCCACTGCACACCACATAGTGTTTTGGGTTCCTTCTGTGTGTCTGCCTCGATCAATGGAGGCAGAGTCATTATTTGCCCAATTTCCAGAGAGGCTGAAATGATAACTGAGTCTTCTTCCCAAAGTCACACAGCACGAAGTCCGACTTCAAGCCGTCTAGGTGGTGCTTGCTTCCCCCTGCCTCCAAATGTAGCACAGATGCACCAGACTGCCCCCAGAGTCCTTTGAGAGGGACAAGAATCCCCTTAGGGACCGCCACTGGCGACTCAGGGCCAGTCCCGCTTGCTGCTCTGGGAAGTTTCTCCCGATCCCATGAGCATCACTCTTATAGGGAGATAGGAAAATGGAACCGATGGAACTAATGCAGAAAATCTCTCAATGTTTAATCATAGGAGACCCCTTTAAGCTTAACTTTTTCCTTAGAGGCCAAATAATATCCTACAGTATCCTGCAGGCCTATCCTGACTTCCACATGACCCAGGAATGGAGAGCAGAGAACAGAGCCAGGGTGGCTTTCCCAGGCTTGCTTGAGGGGGCGGGGGAGGGGAGACATAATGGAAGTGTCTGTGCCAGGACTTAAGGAAAGGTAAGAGGGAATGGGGGTTGGAGGTGCTAGGAGCCTAAGTGATGGGAAAAAGACAGGATACAGGCGAGCTGTTTCAGGACCTTCACAGTGGAGACAGAAATGTGACCACTTGAGACTGGCTGAGTTTGAACGGCTTGTGGGGCATCTGGAGGCAGATAGTAGCAGGAAACTGTGTGTGGTTGGAGCGAGATGTTGCGGGGAGGCACAAAGGGCCCAGAACAGAACAAGAAAGGGGAAAGTCTGTCCTGCATGGGTAGGAGTCCATGGGAGAGCTGGGGAGCTTCGGGAAGGTAGGAAAGATAACAAAGAATCCATTGCAAGAACTGCCAGATGTGGGGGAGTCTGTTTCTCCAGCGGCAGAGCTCCCAGAGAAGTCAGCTAGTATGTGCTGTAGGGGAGAACGGAGTTGGCCTGAGGGACAGTGATACTCATTTTATGGCCAGAATTGCCCAGAAAGCCTGTTGGGAATGGAAAGTTCCAAGTCCCACCCTGGATCTACTGAACCTGAATGTCAGAGGGGGTTCTCCTGGCCACTCTCTGCTAGAGTCGGAGTCTGATGGACACTACTCTGTGCCCCAAACTAGCATCCATGCCATGCCTAAGGTATGGGGAGATGAGCCCCCAAGGAGAAACAAATGCAGTTAGCTACAGAAGCATCTCCTTCCTCAAAGACAAGACCGGCCTGGCCCTTACCGTACCGTATGCTAGGCAGTGTTATAAACACAGTGTATACGGTTCCTGGGGGAGGTCGTCATTTGTAGCAACACCCCTTGTTTACAGATAGGAGCCTCTAAGTGAGCTATGTGCCCAAACTCATACAAACAGTACCTGGCAGAGGCGAGATGGAAGTCTGTGCACACATGAACCCACCTAGAAGGGCTGAGAGAGAGAAGGGAGCCGTGAACCACTAGAGTACCCCGTGAAGTCCCAGCACACAGTGGTTGGCACCTGATAGAACAGGGGCCAGGGCGGCCTGAGCAAAGCCCTAGGCAGTAATGACTCTCTGGAGACATTCAGCCTGACTCTGTAGACAGGAAACACAGTTTCCAGCTCACGGAAGGCTGGGTCCTGTGTGGCCCAGCCTTGAAATTCCTTATAGAGTTCTACTCTAATTTTCAACCTTGGGTCTCTCCTAGGTTCTGGCTGTCTCCGATGGGGGTAAGTGACAGACTGTGTGGATGAGGCGTGACTGGGAGGGAGGGATAAGGAGGTGGAAGTGAGTGTGGACACTCCCTGCTACTTGCTGGTCTTTCAGGTAATATCCCTGAAGAGTAGATGCTTGCTTGCAATGGGGATTGGGCCAAAGGCTGAGGAAGGAAAAAGGCTCACCCTCCTTGTCCATCTCTCCACAGAACTGACCAGCACAGCAGGTTCCCAGGGTCAGAGTGAGGGCCGAGGCAGCTCCCTCAGCATCCACAGCCTCCCCAGTGGCCCCAGCAGCCCCTTCTCCACAGATGATCAGCCTGTGGCCAGCTGGGCCCTGTCCTTTGAGAGGCTGCTACAAGACCCACTGGGCCTGGCTTACTTCACTGTAAGCCTGGGAAAGGGGGGGGGTAAGATGGGAGGGGCAGGGGCAGGTGCCACTGCAGGGATGGGGGATTCTGAAGAGGGCATAGACAGGGCTTCAACTTGGCCAGACTGCTCACTGCTCCTCTCTGTGGTCCCTCATCTAGCCTGTCTTTGGCACCCTTTCCCTCACCCCCGAGCTGGGAACTAACTCTTCCTTCTCCTTGTCCTCATCTCTGCTTCGCATTTTCTTTTGGTACCCAGATCTGCCACCATCTGTCTGTCTGCTCTCTTGGCCCCGTGTCTGTGCTAGTCTTTGAACACATCCCCGATTCAGACTGTGTCTGAGCCTCCCTTCCTCTTCTCATGCCAGGAGTTCCTGAAGAAGGAATTCAGTGCAGAGAACGTAACTTTCTGGAAAGCCTGCGAGCGGTTCCAACAGATCCCAGCCAGTGACACCAAGCAGGTGGAGAGAAAGATGGGACACAGGGGTGGGGACTAGGCCTGGAGCATGCCCCCTGACCTCTTCCGGTCCCTCATCCCCCAGCTATCTCAGGAGGCCCACAATATCTACCATGAGTTCCTGTCCAGCCAGGCGCTGAGCCCGGTGAACATCGACCGACAGGCCTGGCTTAGTGAGGAGGTGTTGGCCCAGCCCCGGCCGGATATGTTTCGAGCCCAGCAGCTTCAGGTGAGGGGACCAAGGGGCAAGATCAGGCTGAGAAGGGAGACCAGTGGAACACCCAATAGGAGCAGACACAGAGGAGAAGTCCGAGCAAAACTGGGGCAAAACTGATGCAGAACCAGAGTCAAATGCAGGGTCACGGCGGGAGGAGAGGGTGAAAGCCATGGATGATAGAAGGATGGACGGGGCGGGGCCAAGAGGAGGGCGGGTCTCAGACTCCAGGTAAGTGACAGGAACTGGGGCAGGGCTTGGGCCTCTCTTACACGGGCTGGCGAGGGCAGGGACACAAGCGGTGCAAGCAGAAGCCACCCATCCAGCCCTTCACTGTCCTTTCCTGGTACCAATCGCCACCCACACCCGCTGGCCGTGCAGATCTTCAATTTGATGAAGTTCGACAGCTATGCACGCTTCGTCAAATCCCCGTTGTACCAAGAGTGCCTGCTGGCTGAGGCCGAGGGACGCCCCCTGCGGGAACCTGGCTCCACGCGCCTCGGCAGCCCCGACACCTCGAGGAAGGTGTGTACCGGGGTAGCAGGAGGCTGGGCAGGGACCGCGGACAGTCTAATGTTGGGTCTTCCCCAGCTGTGGATCCCCGTGCTGGGCTAGGACCCTGCTCCGCACTAGAGTCTTCCCTGTATCTTCAGAAACCGAAGCTGAAGCCTGGGAAATCGCTGCCGTTGGGCGTGGAGGAGTTGGGGCAGCTGCCGCTTGCTGAGGGTTCTTGTGGCCGCCCACTCCGCAAGTCTTTTCGTAGAGGTGAGGCCGGCTCTAGGAATGGTGTGGCCAGGAAGCTTGGGTCAATTTTGGAAACGCCCACCTCTCCCTACTTGACCCACACAGTCTGCAAGAAGGCAAAACCGAAACCTCAAAATGTAGGTTCTTGAGACCACCGGGTTTCTCCAGGAGGCTGCGCTCCCGTGCTGCAACCTGGAAGTTTGGGGGGTGGGGGGCTACCCAAGGACGCACACACTTTAAGTACCTGCAGGATGGAGGGCCTTAAACAAGACCCGCCAAATGGGAGGGCCTCACCAGAGGGATGGTGAGAGCAAGCAGGTCCCTTCATTTCTGACTTTCCCTTAGAGATGACAGGTGGAGCTGTGAATTCAGCACTGCGACGAGAGTCTCAGGGGTCCCTGAATTCTTCCGCCAGTCTGGACCTGGGCTTCCTTGCCTTCGTGAGCAGCAAATCTGAGGTGAGCGGCATTTGGGGGGAACAAGGTGCATTTCTGGTAAGGGTTACTGCCAGTTCCCTTCATGGGTTCTCAGCATTCCCAGTGGATGTCTGTCCTTCTACTCCTAGCTTACTCCGCAAAACCATCACTCCACCCTTCTTTCTTTCCGTGCTTGATATAGTAATCTCTCTACAAATCATGGGGTCATGTTAGCCGCCGGCAGGTGCCTAAGCATGTGTGGGTGCCTAGGTGTACCCTGCATGATGTGTGTGGTTGCTTTGTGAAACTGTCCTGAGTGTCCACATTTATTTTATTTTTGTTTTGTTTTGAACCAGGGTTCTTTTTAAAAAAATTATTTAATTTTATGGACATTGGTGTAAGGGTTTCAAATCCCCTGAAACTGGAGTTACAGACAGTTGTGAGTTGCCATATGGGTGCTGGAAATTGAATCCAGGTCCTTCTGGAAGAGCAGTCAGTGTTCTTAATCATTGAGCCATCTCTCCAGCTCCCCAAAGCAGGGTTTCTATATATAGCCCTACCTGCTGTGGAGCTCCTCAAAACTTAGAGGTCTGCCTCTGCCTCCAAGTACTAGGACAAAATGTGCCACTGTGCCCAGCTGAGTGTCTACATGTTTGAGTGTACATCCCTGTGTTTCTGGAGCAAGACACATCTGTGCTTGCCTCCAGGTGCACCCTTGCACGTGTGTAGATGTATGTGTCCCAGCTTATAGCATCCCTGTGTACATATAGTCTCTGTCTGCTCTTGCCCACAACCAGAGCCACCGAAAGAGCCTTGGAAGTGGAGAGGGGGAGAGTGAAAGCCGGCCAGGGAAGTACTGCTGCGTGTACCTGCCTGATGGCACCGCCTCTTTGGCCCTGGCTCGACCAGGCCTCACCATCCGAGACATGCTGGCAGGCATCTGTGAGAAGAGAGGCCTCTCTCTACCTGACATTAAGGTCTACCTGGTGGGCAATGAGCAGGTATGAGCATGACCTGGCTCCAACTCTCGCCTCTTTTCTGGTCATGAGCCAGCTCTTTTCCTAATCTTCTGGCCACCCCTAATTCTAACTCATTCCCTATCAGCATCCTCTCCCTGCTTTATTCTGACCCTGTGTCCAAGTCTCCATGCATCCTAGGGCCAACTCCTCCGTTCATATTCCTCAAAAACCCTCCTCACACACAAACCCACCCCATAGCCTGGCTCCAGCTTCATCCAGCACCCCGCTCTGATGGTTGTGGGGAGGCAGAGCTGGGGAGAGGGTGCTGCTGGAACTGGGAATGTCCTCCAATCCCACACTTCATGCCACCATCCACATAGGCCTGCCTCTAAAGTTGCCATTGGAGGACTCACCTCTGCCATCAGAAGTCTTCAGTGAGCCTAATCTCTGAAGTCTCCTTCAAGTGAAAATGAGCACCAAGCTCTAAAGTCTAGGGAAACTCTTTTTAAAAAATAATTTATTTAAATTTATTTTATGTGTGTTGGTGTGAAGGTGTCAGATCCCCTGGCAGCGGAGTTACAGACAGTTGTGAGCTGCTATGTGGGTGCTAAGGATTGAACCCAGGTCCTCTGGGAAAGTAGCCAGTGCTCTTAATTGCTGACCCATCTCTCTACCCCCAGGAAAGCTCATTTTTAAAGCATCCTGGAAGGGGGCCCCAGGGGAACAGTGCTGCACTCCAGGGGAAGTGAGAGGAATTTATTCAAGTCCTAAGAGGCAGCCAAGGTGTGTGATCAGAACTGGAACCCAGGCTGTGTCTACTATAGGTCCATGCTGGAGGGAAGCCAGGCAAAAGGTGATTAGGGGTCAACCCTCCAGAGTGAGCCTTCCAGGGAAGGCGGGCATGTCTGGTCAGAAGGCTTCCTGAGAGGCAGCAGCCAGAGTCCGGGGGGCAGAGCTTGTCTGGGACAACTTTACGGGAAGGATGTTTCAGGAAGAGGGAGGCGAGGAGGTGTTTGCAGGACCTGGGGCATGGGGGTGTGAGGGCAGCAATGGGAGATACTCTGCCCACTTTCTTAGGCCACCAGAACAGCTGCCAACAGCCCAGATGGGCTTTGTGCCTGCTAAATATAACTTCACCACCCACATTCCACCTGTCCCTGTGTCCCTGTCTGGGAGAGTTCCCCCACCTCCATTTTAAGCCTGCCCCCTACAAGTCTTAGGCTGGTACACACAGTAGTCTTGTCTGTGCACCTACTGTGTGCTGGGGCTGTACCATTTCTGGTCCAGTTTGGGGGTGGCTGGAGCTGGTAGGAGGTGGGGAGACTGACCTAGGCATTAAGGAGGCAAGAGGTAAGGTCTGGGTGGCTAACAACAGGTGGGTGGTGAGAAGAAGTGTGTCTCATACCTGAAGGAACCGGGACCTAAGCTTTATCCTTACTGAAGATCCATCCCCCACCCCCATTAATATGTAAGCCCCCCCCTTCTGTTTTCCCAAACTGGATCCTTTCCTAAGCTTCCCCTCACACTCCCAAGCATCTTCCTTCCTTCCTTCCTTCCTTCCTTTCATCCTTCCTTTTTCTTTTTCTTCTTTTTCAGAGGGAGCTGGGTGTGTGTGTGTGTGTGTGTGTGTGTGTGTGTGTGTGTATCTTACTGTGTAGACTTAGCTGGCCTAGAACTTGCTACGTAACCCAGGCTGGCCTTGAACTCTCTCAGTCTCTGAGTAGAGTACTGAGAATAAAGGCTTGCACCATGGTGCAGGTGCCGTTGTGGCCTTGCCCAGGGCATCTTCCCCTCTTATGATCCCTTGGCCTTGGTCTTCCCAGGATCCAGCTCTGCTGGTCCTTAGCCCTTCTGCCTCTCTAGCCTTCTGTTACCCATGGGTTGGTCCTTCTGGTCTTTAGGGTACCACAGGAGGAAGTGAAGGTGATTCCCAAGTGTCCCACCCCCATCCCCCGGGATAGCATGGGAGGAGGGAGGGGATTCTTAGAACTTGCCTGGCATCCGCAGAAGGCCCTGGTCCTGGATCAGGATTGCACGGTGCTGGCAGACCAGGAAGTACGACTGGAAAACAGGATCACCTTCCAGTGAGTGCCCTACTCCAAAACTTGATCTGACTTCCAGCTGTCTACTGGGCCCAAATCTCAGATCTCATCTGCTGAGCTGGGAACTCTACCCCCTAAGCTAGAGCCCCACCCCCAAACTGTTCCACCCTCCACGTTCAGTTCTGGTCCCCTCCGGGCTTGTTTTGGGAAAAGGGGTCCCCTGGGTCTCCACCACTCCGCAGCTCAAAGGTCCCATACAGGCTGGAGTTGGCTAACCTGGAGCGTGTGGTGAGGATCTCCGCTAAGCCCACCAAGCGTCTGCAGGAGGCGCTGCAGCCCATCCTGGCAAAGCATGGTCTGAGCCTGGAACAGGTGGTCCTGCATCGCGTGAGTGATGGAGCTGTAGGCGGGGCGGGGCGGGGAAGGCGGGAAGGTTTTACGGTCTGGCTCATAGGCTCCAAACCTCTTTCTGTAGCCAGGGGAGAAGCAGCTGTTGGATTTGGAGAAGCTAGTGAGCTCAGTGGCTTCACAGACACTGGTTTTGGACATTCATCCAGGTAAGTGATGTGTATACCCTGGGACTTGGTTTCCCAGTGCGGCTCTGGCACAGGAGGAGGGGCTTGTGAGAAGAAGGCCAAACCCAACCGTGATGCTCTCCGTTGTAGATGCAAAGATGAGTGAAGCCAGCAGCACATCCCCCTGCCGTAGCCAGGTAACCGAGAACCTCAGGGCCTCTTCCCAATTTCCTCTTCTCCCCTCCTGGTTGTGAACGTCACCCCTCTTTCTTGCAGGGATGCCTGCCTAGAGCCCAGGACAAGGATACTCATCTTCCCCCATTGCCCTCCAGTTTGCTTGTGGAAGATGCCAGCAGTACTACTGGGAAACGGCAGACCTGTGACATTGAAGGTGCCCTGCCGGTGGTAGTGGGGGCCACGGGATCAGAGGGAGGAGAGAAATGGGATCAGGGCTGAGTATCATTGAGGGTGGCCTGAGCTACGGGCGGGACTAAGGGGCCATCGGCGCTGGAATATACTGATGGTCTGGGGTCAGACTGGCCATTGCAGGCAGCAGAATAGGCAAGCATTAACACAGATGCTCTGACCATATGGGTCTCCTGACTCTGTGGCTGTCCCCAGGCCTGGTGGAGCTGCTGAACCGGGTGCAGAGCAGTGGGGCCCATGACCAGAGGGGACTTCTTCGCAAAGAAGACCTGGTACTTCCAGAATTTCTGCAGCTTCCTTCCCAAAGGCCGGGCTCCCAGGAGGCTCCACCATAGACTGAATCAACCACCCAGCCTAAGGAGGGCCTTTCAGACTCCTCTGCCACCCAGCCCTCTGACGCCTGTGTAACAGTCCAGGTTGGCTGCATGGTGCCTGGGCGGACCAAGCATGCATGGGTCCGCTCTGCATGCCCTGTCTGCACCCTGAGTGTCCCTGGCCCCTTTCTGCTATGGGCGGGCCCACAGAAGGAGCCAGGAAGGGATGGAAGGGGAACTCAGAGGAACCACGTGCCCAGACTATGGCTACCTGTTCTCATAGGTTCACCTACCTGTGCTTTGCAGCTAGGCCATCAGGGGAGGCCAGGCCAGCCTCTTGGCATAAGCATACTGAACACAAATGGGTGACTTTGGCAGTGCCAGCCTCCTCAGCTTGTTCTAAGCTTTGGCAGGGGGCAGGAGGAGGGGCTGGCCCCTCCTTAAAGAGTTGATACAAGTAAATTCCAGGCGCACTGGTGAGCAACCCCCCCCCTCCATTCACTTAGACTCTACTGTACATAGGGATTTTATGGTTGGCTTGGGGCAGCTGGGTTTGTCCTGAATGTATGATATTGTTATAATAATGATAATTATTATTATTCAGCCGAGGTGTGTTTCTTGTGTACCACTCTGGTCTGTATGGTCCCATTACCCCACTGACTCTGTCACCAAGGCCTGGAAGTTCTTAGGGACCTCAGTGTATACCTCCCGACTTTCTGTTTTCAGACTCTCTCTTCCTGAGGCATGGAATATAGAGGCAGAGAGAGGGGAAGAGAGAGAGAGGGAGAGGGAGAGAGAGAGAGAGAGAGAGAGAGAGAGAGAGAGAAAGGGAGGGATCGTCCTCTACAGCTGGGCCTTGCCATTCCCTAGCTGCTCCACAGTGTCCATGGACCTGAATGCATCGTTTTTGTTGATATTCCCTGTTTCTATCAGGGATCTGATGTATCTCCACATACATTGCTGAGGGCTCCTTAGGATGCATCAGAAGCTTATATGTAGGACCAGACTAGGCCATGTATTCTTTTCCTCATCTGCTTCGCTGGGTGGTACCCCACCTCTTAAGCAGCCAGGAAAGGCAGGGAGGGAAGGAGAGGAGACTGCTCAGAAAGAAAGCCTCAGTCTGCAGGGAGAGAAGCCCAGCATGGTCCCACCTAGGGAGGTAAGTGGGAAGAGGAAGCAAGGTGGCTGGAGTGGGTGGAGCAGAGTCCTGCACACAGATGAGACCACCTTGTGTGGATCCTCCACCAGGACCTTCTCCTGCCCTCTCTTCTCATCTGACCGGTTCCTCGTCATCCTTGAAATCTGTGGGATCGATCAACGGCTATGCTGATCCACTATGCCTTCCTCTGGGGGTTTCAGGTTCCTGCCACCTGGTAACCCCCTCACTTTATCTGACCCTTTAATGGACCCACAGGCTTCTGAGGGAGCCAATGACACAGGACACACACACACACACACACACACACACACATATATATATATATATATATATATATATATATATCCCACACGGGCAGAGTTTGGCTCAGAGGTGGTTGTCTAAAGCTGCTCTAATAAGAATCGTAATCCCTCGCCATGTATGGTGGCGCATGCCTTTAATCCCAGCACTCAGAAGGCAGAGGCAGGCAGATCTCTGTGAGTTCGAGACCAACCTGGGCTACAAGAGCTAGTTCCAGGACAGGCTCCCAAACTACAGAAAAATCCTGTCTCAAAAAACAAAACAAACAACAACAAAAACAAAAAAAACCACAAAGCAAAGCAAAAACAAACAAAGGAACAAACAAAATAAAAAAAAAATCATAATCCCGGAGCTGGAGAGAGGGCTCAGTGGTTTAGAGCACCGGGACTGAGTCTCAGCACCCACATGTCAGCTCACAATTATCTGTTACTTCAGTTCCTGGGGTACAACATCTGCTTTTAGCTTTCGTGAGCACTATATACACAGTGCATGACAGACATGCAGGCAAAAACACCCATATGCATAAAAATAAAGATGAATAAATCTTTTCATTTTAATTCCAATGATGTTGGCTTATTTACATTTGTAGAAATACCTTGCACACAGAAGAAACCCACATAGGAGAGGACTCAGGTGGCAGACAACCCACCACACGTCACGCATACCTGAAATGACCACTCTTTGACTTTCGCTTTAGGCAAACCAGTAAATTCTTCCTGGAAGCATGGGCTTGCTACTAAGAGGTGGGCTTCTAAAACCCACAACTACAAGAATCCTGGTTCACTGACCACCTTGGTGGTCTGGAATAGGCTCAGCGAAACACAAAGGGACAGCTGGAATTGGGGGACTGCATAATGCTAGGGACTATGTGGTCAGGGAGTAGAAGCAGGGGAGACAAATCCCTTTTGCTAAAAACAACTTTTCTGAGAGAAATGTAAACAATGTCTACCCTCCTCCTAAGGTTCCAACAAGAACCAAGAACAATTCCCCCGATTTCCCCCAGGAGCACAGGTGATTTAATCAGAAACACAGGAAGGGCTGCACCTAGCAGAAATGATGGCTTCCCCATGACTGCAGAGATGGAGCCCCACCCCTTCTTTCTTTAAGCATCTTTAGCCTCTAGCTTCTCCCCAAAGACCCACACCATTAGAGAAGAATGGCACAGAAGAGTGACTGGAAACTCAGGTGAGGGCCCCATGATGGCTCTGCTCCCTCCTTCTCTGAGGAAAGTAAACAATCAATAGGTTATCTTCCCCAGCAGGCTTAGCTGAGCTCCTGAAAATGGCAGCTATTAGGCTCACAGGACAGCCCTGAACAACAATCCTCTTCTCTTCCCTCATCTCCCACAGAACTTCCCTCTAATTTTCTGGGACAAATGGGAAGAGGCTCTGCTATGAGCTTCGGGGAGAGAGGAGGGGACACCAAGTGAAAAATGGACTGTCTCCCCAAAGCTGGTGGACCCTATAGGCCAAGCTGACCTCTCCCTCAACCTGGAATATCTGCAGAGCCAACAATGATGCATGTTGCCTTTATGGCCGGGAGAAAGCGGAAAGAGCCCGAGGAAAGTTCATCTCCCGCTTGGGAGAACCAAATCTCCGGAGTTCCCAGACTGGATACATTCTAACCTAGATGACTGGATACATTCTAACCTAGACAACTGGATACATTCTAACCCAGATGACTGGATACATTCTAACCCAGACAACTGGATACATTCTAACCCAGATGACTGGATACATTCTAACCCAGACAACTGGATACATTCTAACCCAGACAACTGCATACATTCTAACCCAGACAACTGAATACATTCTAACAGTTTTGTTCATCTCCCGCTAGGGAGAAAGGACTTTACGGAGCTCCCAGGCTGGATACATTCTAACTGTTTTGTTGTTTTCCTTTTCCCAACAATCTGATGGGGATAAAAGTTGAGCTTCATGGGGAAAGTAACAAGGAACTGTACTGGGGCTTCACTACCCTCAGGCTGCTGGATCCAGGAGCACCATCCCGGGAGGCCTGTGTGATGTAGACACCTGATGAGAGTATACTGGTACCACTGTTCAGTTCTGGAAGAAGTCAGGAGTTTCAGTTATAAGTCAGAAGTAGGGCTGGAAAGATGGTTCAGCAGTTAAGAGCCCTCATTGTGCAGTCCTGAACATCAGAGATCAGATCTCAACACCCATGTACCAACCTGGACATCCTGCACATGCCTGCGACCCCACCTCTAATCGACGTAAAGACAGGAGGATCATAGGGGCTTCCTGTCTTCCAGGAGAGCAGAGAAAATGTGAGGCCCGGGTTCAGAGAGAGAGACCCCACCTCAAAGGGACAGGCCAAGAGTGATAGAGGAGACACCTGACATCCTGCTGTGGCCTCCACATGTGTGCACAGATGCACACATACACAGAAACACACACACAAATATTCTTTTCAATTGTTACATTTTAAATTTTTAATAGGTACATGTGGAGGTCGGAGGACAACTTGTAGAAGTTGGTTCTCTTTCTACCATGTGGGTCCTTTGGTTTGACCTGAGATCATTAGGCTTGGACGCAAGAGCTGAGTCATCTTGGCAGTCTAATAAACGAATCTTTAAAAAGTAGAACAAGCCGGGCGGTGGTGGCACACGCCTTTAATTCCAGCACTCAGGATGCAGAGGCAGGCAGATCTCTGTGAGTTCGAGGTCAACCTGGTCTACAGAGTGAGTTCCAGAACAGCCAGGGCTATGCAGACAATAACAATAACAATAACAATAACAAAAACAAACAATAACACAATAGCAACAAAAGAATGAAGATTTACTGGCAAAGGGTGTATGTAGCTCAGTGGTCGAGCAGATGCCTAGCATTCCTGAGGCCCTTCAATCTCCTGTACCAGAAATAATAAAATAAAAATAGAAGTTTATTTGACTCACAGTTCGGGAATCTGGGAAGTCTAAGGGCATGGTTCTGGCACCTGGTGAGGTCCTTCTTGCCAAACAGTAATGTGCTAAAAGGAATTACATGGCAAGACAGCAAGCTAGCCAGAGAGATGCTTGATAACAAAGTCACTCCCAAAGCAATACATCAATCCACACCTTGATTAATCCATTCATAACAACAGAGCCAAGCACTTCTCTCCCAATCCTGCCTCTATGATGTGGTTCATACCTGGGAGGCAGGCTAAGACAAGAGAGATTGTGAGTTCAGGTGGCCTGGACTACAAATCTGGGCTATAGAAAAGCCTCTGACTCAAAAATATAAAAGAGAGCCAGGCAGTGGGGCTGCATGCCTTTAATATCAGCACTCAAAAGACAGAGACAGGCAGATCCCTGTGATTTCAAGGCCAGCCTGGTCTATATATAGTGAGTTCCAGGACAGGTTCCAAAGCTACAGAGAAACCCTGTCTTGAAAAACCAAAAAAAAAAAAAAAAAGAGGGAGAGAGAGAGAGAAGTAAACAGAAAGTAGCCTGGCAGTGGTGGTGCATGCCTTTAATCCTTGAACTTGGGAGGCAGAGGGAGACAGATCTCTGTGAGTTTGAGGCCAGCCTGGTCTACAGAGCAAGTTCCAGGATAGCCAGGGCTACACAGAGAAACCCTGTCTCGAAAACCAAACAACAAAACAAAGAAAGAAAAAGAATAAAAACTTTAAAATTCACCATTCAACACTGCTTTACCGAGGACCAAATTCCCATTATAAACATTTAGTAGATATATTCAAGCCATACGGTGTCTGTATATAAAACACAAACATAGAGACACAGGAGTATAGCAAGGAGAGAGTTTTCTCTGAGTACAACACTGATAAAAGGAGACTGAGAAATGCAACAGAGTTATGCCAATATTAGGAATAGTGGTCAAAGAAGATCTTCAGATTAGCTTTAATTTTCTCACAAATGCACCAGAGTTATGCCAGCATTAGGAATAGTGGTCAAAGAAGATCTTCAGATTAGCTTTAATTTTCTCACAAATGCAATTTTAAGTAATTTCATTGCTATAAAGAACTGCCGTGAGTCCATCTTTATTTCTGCTGGTCAGTCATCCTTGGTAGAGTCTAATGCTTCTTTGGGACTTAAGACCATTATGACTCTTGGCCCAGTTGGCTGACTGGTATGCCCTTCTCCCATAATCCCCTCTGTTCTCTCCTTGTCAAATAACCTCGATGACTTTTCTT